CTTTGTCATTTCATAATTATGTCCAACTCGTTGCGCTTCGCTTTGGTTCCGTTTCACTTTCGCTTTTGCAGCTGACATAAAATACTAACAAGCATACGTCTGTTTACTAATTAATTGTATGCTTCGTATTCGTTTGCTTTTTGAGTTTGTAAAAAAAATATGGATGAATTCCATTTTGTTTGTGCAAGTAAAAAGACTATTCATTCATGTGAAATGTGTACTAACCGTTGATTTCTGAGACCAAAATCTCTGTGTAAAACATATGTTCATCCTTAACAAAACCAAGATCATCATCATTATCTCCGTGGCCTTCAGTGCACTAGGTTTTCGTCGTCCCAATCAATCTATTTGCCGTAATCACCGTCGCCATCCCCTTCTTTATTATGTTTGACAAGTTCCTCTTGAGATGCGCATACTATGGCATTTTTTTTTATTTATTTATTTTATTTATTTAAGCACAACCACAACATATATATAACACACATACAACTTATCAAATGAATAGTATTAGATCTTATACATATGTAAATATTGGTGTACATAACATTTACAGAGGTAACAAAACAGTAATAAGACTATATTTTGAACGGGGATATTGACCTAAGAAACCCACGGTAAGTGTATTCGTGTGTGTAAAATACACTTGTTTCTTCGTTGAGCGCGTGTAGTTGTCCATTGAATTTATTAGCGGTTGTAGCAGGTGCAGCGGAGATGGTCCATGTTAACCTACTTGCGTAATTATTTCTAGCCAGTCTTATCTATTGCAGTATTATCATATTTCTTAACTTGGTATGTTTGTTTCTATCCAGTAGGTGTCTTCAATTCCTTTATTTTGCGTATTTAGTAGCTAAAAAAAACAGCTAAAATGTTGATTTTGTTCTTTATTTTTTAGGTACTTTTTCTTATAATCAATTCAATCCCATAATAAACTGCTTACAAATAATTTCAACTACAGGTGTAGGAAAAGATCAAGTGACAAATTAAATGGTTTTGCTAAAAGTAGTTTTTTGTTACAATTTTTTTTTAATTTGAGAATATTTTATTAGCGACCATAAATCAATTTTCTCATAAAGAAATCATAGAATTGTGAGATCGAACAAAACCAAGTCATCATTTGTAATGAAAACACACTTTAATATTAATGAGATCACAACACACAAAAACTACGTACAAATATTGTTATAATAAATAAATATGTAATACAAACTATGCTCGTAAATCTACTGGTATTCGGACAGAGTAATCGATCACGCCGCGCCTTGAATATTATATATTTTCATGCATCCGTTTTTCCTTATCCTTGTATGATCTGTCTATTTTGTATTACTGTACACGTCCATCTATCATCTTTTAATTACATATCAATTGAGCTTACATACGTATAACATGTAAAATATATCATAAACCGTTGGTTTCCGAGACCAAATTCTGTGTGTAACATATCGTCATCCCTGGCATTATCTTTGATAAAACAAGACTCAGAAACGCACATTTATTCATACAATTTATGCAGGAAAACTAAAAGTGTACTTGATATGATTAATTTTACATTATAAAACTTTAACATAATTTAGTAAAGTGAAATATGTATTAGTACTAAATTGTATGTGTGATTTTAATGCTTTTGTTAGGAGTCAAAGATAAAAGACGCAGTGAGATAGAATCGCAAGGCACATATATATAAGTCATTGTAAATTACCTAATTTAATAAATATTGGGTAAAAAATACAGTCCTGAGTTGAATATTCATAGCTTTACCTTCACTCAGCTAAACATAATAAAACAAATATTATGTTCAAAGTAAGTCAAGCACTACTTTAGTTACGCTGAAAAATATTAAAACAAAATGTAATGCTTGTTTACAAAGCGTTTGTGTTTATTTTTATGTATGTTGACTATGCCGAATTTATTTTAATTGCATTAATACATCTCATGAGGTGCAATTCTATGTATTTTTTATATAAAAGTAAAAATTTGAAGTTGTTAAGTAAAAAAAAAAGAATTACAGTATGATGTTTGCACTTAATCCAATCCGGAATCGGAATACAAATTTTGATATACAAATGTGATGAAGTAATTTATTTTATTGAAAAGCCAAAGCGAATTTCGTGTCTGTTATAATCGATATTTAACATAGGAATTTCAAAATTTCAATTAAGTAAATGTCACAATATGGTACGCTTTAAATGCATTCTCACTTATCAAATAGAATTGGTCACGGTATTGTGCTTTTGGTACCAATAAATTTCTTTCTTTGTAAACTTACAATCTAATCTAATCTAATCTAATCTAATCTAATCTAATCTAATCTAATCTAATCTAATCTAATCTAATCTAATCTAATCTAATCTAATCTAATCTAATCTAATCTAATCTAATCTAATCTAATCTCGTCTCGTCTCGTCTAATCTAATCTAATATAAACTTATCTCATCTCATCTCATCTCACCTCATCTCACCTCATCTATCACACCTCACCTCATCTCATCTCATATCAACTCATCTAATCTAATCTCGTCTCATCTCATATCAACTCATCTAATCTAATCTAATCGAATCTAATCTAATCTAATCTAATCTAATCTAATCTAATCTAATCT